CGGCGTGCTGGAGGACTGGAGAACTAGAGTGAAGGGCGGGGGGTGAACAATAAGTATACATGTGTTCATCAATGACAAGTTTATTGCATATAACGTCAACAAATAAATATCTAACAATTGTTACAGATTCACACATCGTTTGTTACCCAACTTGTACTTCAATGAAGATTGTGTCGACGAACTTACAACGAGAGAGTAAGACAGAGAGACCTCTGGACCGTGGCGGAATACTTGGGCTTATTTGGAAGTGCTGGGGCGGGACGTAAGCGCATTAAACAGAATTATGATGCGAGAAAAAGGGGCCGCCGCGCCCGCAACCTTTTAAGATGATGGCAAAGTTGGTTTAAGAACTTGTGGAACCTCTCATTATCTCTGAAACATTTTTACAATCATTTTACGCTTTTCCGAGCAGCAAAGTTCTGACTTGTTGAGGAATAACGCTAGGGTACTACGTATGCTCTGGTAAATCGAAGGCGGCTTAAAAAAGGCACTATATCTGCAGAGAAATATCCACCCATCAGAAAGTATACAGTTGTGGAAATTACAACAATAATGAGTATAATGTCTTCATTACTCCTTTTTTCAATTACAAAAACGTCAGGATTTATGAAAATAATTATCATTGGTTCAACCATTCATTATTATTTGACAAACAATTAAAATACAGTAGTGACTGTTATGTTACTTTTTTAATGCATTTGTTGAACTTAAACAAAGACAAGCGTACGGTGTTACACGACCCATAAATAAAAGGAGCAACGTTGACTTTAATCCGCGAAGCAGCCAGCTGGAAAATGATCTGTGTAGGAAAACAGTTAAAAGTCACCCCAGACTATTATCGGCGGGAAAATAGAATATGAAGATTATAAGAGCTTTCCTCGAGGGAACGCTGACTTAAACTCTTTGTTGGGCTTTCGACTTTAGGGATGTTTTGGGGAGAGTAAGACACGCATCACGGCTTCCGTTACACTTCCGTAGTTGATGGGGAGGGGGAGGAAGATACGCTGGGGTTGTGTTTTACAGCATATCTCCCGCAACAAACATGTGAGTTAAACAAGAAAATCGTTCTAAAACATTGAAGGAAAAATAGCAAACCTATCATTGGCACAACTTGTTCCAATGTCACCTTCGCATTTAGGACACATTCAGGGCCGGACTTACCTATGGGCGAAGGGGGCGAACGCCCGGGGCCCCCGGGCCAAGGGGGGCCCCTAGGGGCCCCCTTTGTACAGTAGTTTTTATTAATAACTTCGAAAATTGATCAGACACTTACCAAATGGCCTTCTTTTGTAACAGTTTTATTTTTATTTTTGTTATCCTATGTTTAAGGTTATTGTTAGGTGCATTTTAAGGCATAACTAGGAATTAAATTCTTGACCCTAAGGGATTTTTTTTCAGAGTTGCACTTGGCCCCACGCTTAGGCCTGGTTTACACGAGTATATGTGCTAGGCTGTGACGGACAAGTTTCAGTTTCAATGAAGCCGCTCGCCCGACTGTACGGCCGCGGCGAATGAGTTGAAGGGGGTCCCGCGCTTGGGGCAAAAATTCAATAAATATGAAAACTCTTGTCCCAACGTAGAACGTAACTTGTAAAATTGTGTTGTTTTAAATGGAGATCCACTGGAGTTCAAATACTTTTTAAAATAAAAACATTGCTCCGTTTATGTTTTATTAAATGTTATTCTTTTCTTTTACCTCTAAGTATATACCAATCAGGATTTTAAGGGGTAGAAGTATATTATCCGTTCAATAGGTTTTGTAAAATAGTAATTAATTTATGCGTCAAAATTTTGATCTCCAATTTAGTCTTTGGAATCAAAATCATATAGCACCAGTAAGATTTTTTAAATCTATATAGACACTTTAAAACAACTAGAGTCGTCTGATGGTATAATGATAAATGATAATGAGCTGATAAGGGATCCTGTCTAGTCCTGTCTGTCTCACGCAAGCACATACACACTCATAAAATGCCTTATCGCCTATCCAAAACAATTTAAATCACTTTATTCACTTTACTCCCATAGTTTGTCCTTTGAGACTATGGTTACGTCAAGTTGGTTGAAATTGTCTTACTTTTGTGTTATTTTATTGTAATTCTGCAAACTAACAGTACAAAAAAAAAGCTGAAGTGAGTAATGTTGTATTCAATGCTATGTTTGTGTTGTATTAATCAATATTGGATCCATTGAAACATCTTTCAGTTACTCATATAAATAGTTAGCTTGTGAGTGTTTATTAGACATTGCAAGATTTTGCTCGTCAATAAAAAACTCAAACTTGAAAATCCTTAATGGTACTTTTCATGCTAGGACTTTAACATATTATAAAAACGATAATGCCATAGGTACCAAAACCATTATGAAAATAAAATAATCACACCTATATTGTAGTAATATTGAAAAACCATACAAATCGACGGCAATAATCGATAATTGAAATACGTAATAAACAAAAATATATCAATACTTCTAATCCAAATATATTATGGTAGCCTACCATACTACCATACCAAATATGCCGTCACTAGTACTACAAAGCAACAAAAATTTTGTTTTTTGTGTATAAAATTAAAATATGCTGTATATAAAAATATGTTAAAATAGTTATATTTTAAGAACAATTTTTTATATAGAACTTATTGCTTATTTAGCCTTAAATTAGCCTAAATTTAGAAATTTTTCCTGGGGGAGGACCCCCCAATCCCACTGGAGGACCCCCCCCCCGAACTGAAATCCTAGGGCCCCATTGGAAAATTTGCCCGGGGCCCCTGAAGTCCTAAGTCCGGCCCTGGACACATTTTATATATGTTAACAAAGTATTTCTATATCATCAGAGCGATAGAGACAGTTCTGATGAGGCGGTTATCGCCAAGAGCACCGAAGGCCGTCGGCGCTTCGCTATTAAAACGATATTAGCTGCTCGTTCATTATCGGCATTAGCGTAAAACCAATTTCCAGGGGGCGGGCAACAGAAATTCCTAAATAATAAGAAAACGGGGTCCGAGATGTCGATGATAACATATGAATATTAAAAACTTGGATTATTACGAAGTAATTAATATAGGCCGCAAAGGGCGAGCCGCCTGTCATTTTGTTTGTTCGCGATTAATAATGATGATATTTCAATCCCGATAGTTCTTTGTTCGAATTAATCGAGGTGTCTAAGCGATCACCTGAATGGCTTCTGTGTCAGACTACTTAGAGAAAGCAATCACTGACAGACCTACACGATCGCTCGTTTATAGTCGTTACTTAACGATATATATCTCGACGAATTCCCGGTATAAGTATAATATAAACTTCTCAAATGAACCGTGTACTCTCCGTAACGTTCAAGTCATTTCCATCGACTTTCGACCCGCTCTGACGGAAAGTTAACGAAATCGAGTTAATTAAATCAAGGGTTATCTAGTGACCCGTGCACCACGATAGCCTCGTCAACACAGCCCCGTGACCGACCGACAAATTACTTCTTTTTCACTCAGCATTTTAAAACTCGTCTTTAGAAGCAAAACCCTAATTAATGACAAATTGAATCAAATAAAATCCAGAACGCACTAAGAATGGATACTAATTGTAAATCGCGCTAGTTTTGGATGACAAATAAATATCATGATCTTCACCCTAAGGGGGAAAACAAAATGCCAATAACACTAACAAATCTGTCCGACTTCACACTTCACATATACGAAAATGAATTAAAACTATAATAATTCATTTGGAAAATCTTGATGTCAAATGAAATCTAAAAAAAAAAAAAACACTTTGTGGGCTTTTGTTTTGTAAGAAATTGTATTAGAAAAGTACAAATTCTTTGGACTTAAAAATATGTTAGCTAATTGATCTGTTATGTTACATTTAAACAAATAGCAATGCGAAATCCCAAACGTATTTAGATTTTCATCCGTCGCGGTGCAGTTAAGTAGGCATGAAATTTGGGTGTGTTTACAAAACGACCGGCAGTTAATCATTGCGAACAAATGGAATATCGATTGAAACGAATGGAGTAAAAACACAGCGGCCGGATTGGCCTGTGATATGATTATGGGAGACCGCCGCGCCAAAAATACCAACGTAAATCGAGCAATAGAGTAGAGGGTAATCAGTAATCACGGCCAACATGAGCCTGATGGAATACGTAATGGTCCGCGGGACAAAAACAATCATAATTGGCTGAATACTCGATTGAATCGCCCCTCCTGGCGATTACAGAAAATACAATTTCTTTATTTAGTAGAGAATATGCAAATATTTTAGCGGTTCCACATGTACTTTAATGTACAATTACTGTAGAATAACATATCTGAGAATGCTAATAAATAGCGAAGCAAGTGTAACTCGAAATGTGACCTATATAAAATCTCTCCCTCTCCCCTTCTTTATTATACGCACACACATGCAATACAGTAGAACACTCAAACACCCGTCTTGCTCAAAGTGAACCATTAGATTGATGAAGTGACCAATGAGACTTGGTACAGATCCGGAAGTAGCTTTCAAACACATTATAACCTTCCTAATTGTATAGGCCATAAACAAGTGCCTTTATGGGCTGTAAAACAAGTAATTATAAAACACTAAACACTATTTGGAACCACTTATCGAAATATAGCTAGTTTCGTTGAGTGTAATAATGTTCTTGAATAAGTAACAACTCTGTATTTTGATAGAACATATTCTGGTCTAAAAGTAAAGACTTTTTTGTGTTTGGTAAAAAATATATATATTGAATTTATTTAATTTATATAATAAACCATCAAATTTCAATTTAGTACCTTAAACGAAACTAGGCAATGACTAGAGCTTTAAAAAATACATAATTAATGCAGTAGGCTACATTATAACTACAGTATTTTTATTTTTATTTTCTGTATTCAATTTCTGTTTGATTAGTATAGTAGTGTAATGTAACGGTGTAAAGTGGATTGTGTGAAGCGACATGCACGTGCAACTTACAGCTAAGTAAGGTGTTGAGGTCAGATGCTGAAGACGTTTACCTGGGTCTCCATGGTCGAGGGACTGTTGTGAGCCTGGTTGTTGGGACAACGGGCCCGGGGTACCTCCGGAGCCGGGGGACCTGACGTCGTCGTTGCCGTGACCGCCGTAGGACAACGATGACGAGGGCGGCCTCTGGAACAACAGAATAAAACAATAGTATACTTCATAACGTACACTCTTGTAGAATCTCAACCGTATAAATATAAATCACATCTTTCGAGAAAAACTGTTGGGTGTTATTATCAGCACCCTCCAAACTTCTAAACGTATTCATACTTTATGGAGATAGAAATATTGTTGCGAGGCGCTAAGTCAATTGTGAAGAAGTGACAGATCTACACGGAGCTGCGCCCCTTGCCCTAGGGACTAGCAACATGACACTCTACTCAGCTGTGGGCCAGGAACCAAAACTCTCCCTAAATAATGCACCACTTCCACCGAGGGACCTCCACCACGTCACTCCAGCACTCCACTACTGCGGAGGACTACAAATAATGTATACTCTGCAAAAATGTTACTTTCTCAATGTATGTAAGCTGAAATAATCATGTAACTTATTTCAGGAACTAAAAACTTAGCTTTTGATTGTTATTGGAATTGGGTGGAAGAGGTTCCACCGATGATTTTACAACGTGCTGCTGGAGTTCGTTCACATTGTGAATTGAGTTCTATAATCTGTTGAAAACGAATATTGATTAAACATACCAAATATACCAATATACCAACAGGTTATTTAGAAAACAGTGAGTGACATTTATTTGTAATTTAGTAATTATTTACCGTTAAAGATTTACGTAGACGATACAATATTTTATTTTTGTAATAATGCAACTCAACAATGCCAAGAGCGTTGGCACAAGCGCGGCTATTGCTAATACTTCCATATGATGATTCAGAGTGCGGTTAAGTCATAGATAACACCTGCGTCATACCATGAAAATTGCAACCGCTACAGACACGACCGCGTATTATCATAGATAAAGTATTTTAAACAATTGCAATTTACCTGAGAGGAGTTAGGTTTAGGTTTGACGGGTCTCAGTTACTCACACGGTCTCAGAGGAATCAATCACCGATAACAATACCTCGTGGTCGCGGCCTTGCGACAAAAACCTCGGCCCGGAGGTTCTTGACATGGCCCGATCTACGACTCATCCGCCATTAGACCTGCATGACCGTCGACGTTTCAATTAGGCTGACACGTCTTAACACCCTGTCATCGCACAATCTGCGAGCAAGCGGCTGGTCAGCGTGCTCCATAGAATAATCCGACCATTCGGCGTTCTTGGGAGTTATGTCAATCACTCGATCAGTTGAAATGTGAAAAATACTATCGTAAAGAGAGTTAAAGACTCCTTGCAATCAGTTTTCAGCAGCTAGGCTGATCACTAATGAAATACTCTGATTGTTTTCTGTCAAGTCAAGTTCGGTCTTTCTTCCAGGATGAGGCGAGGATAGCGCAACGACAGCTAGCGTCTTTCAGATTTCAATGGAAATTCCACCTATCTTAACGAACATGTCTACTTCGACTCTGCTTTCTCTGTTCGTTTTTGATTAGGAAAAAGCGTCTAATTGCTTAGTCGCGAGTGGCTAGTCATTAGGACTAATGCGGTGCGATGTTTTTGGAGCGAACAGTAGACGTGGTAATTAACGATGTGATTGCCAGGATAGACCACGCCCGTTTGACGTGACTCCGTAGTATTTCAGCGGACTTCCTGATCTAAGGGATCAACCGTGACCTTGGAACTACTTTTTATGCTGAGCTGTAAACGAGAACTCGTTTCATCGAGAGGCCTGTAAGCTTATCTTTACGGCGTCACCTCTTTAATTACAGGTGTAAAAATGTAAAACCTCCAAATTAATATGTACCTCTAGCGGTAAATATGTAGATTGTCATGGACCTGTTAAGAAGATGGAAGGGAATTTAAATCTTAATTGAATTTTCATTAAAGATGTATTTAAATAACTATGCGCGTATCAAGGCTCGCTCCATCATCAGAGTGGACTGCCGACGAGACGCCGACGGTAGTGTGGTCGATCGGGCACGAGAAGCCAGTAGCAGGTCCCAGACAGTGTGGGATTAGTGCATTGATAAGATAAGGTCCAAAGCAAACAGACACACACTAGGTCTACCTGTTCAAACACTACGATACGGAGACAAGCAAATCACATATTTGAGGTATAACTATTTCAAAGATCATTCTCATCACAAAATATCTCATGTGGGTTTGCTCTTGGTAGGGAACAACAATAGCACAGCTTAACCATAAATAAAGCGTAAATGCCATTGAAATATAATAATTTTATACAATAAAAGGGGCATCATCCTAGAAACTTCGGCATGTTAACCCATGGAATCATTAGTACAGTATAAATCTTAAAATGTGGAAATCTAATAGAGGCTAGATGCATAAGTAGTCTTTGCACGTATATTTGTTGATGGTTTTCAATACTGGCTGATCTATTGAGGTGTTATGGTGGTTACCAGTATAGCGAGGCCGGTGGTTAAAGCGTTGTAGCGTTGTAGCTTCGCCTCGCTGATAATACTGGACACTACACTCGATAAATTAACATAGAAAGTGGAAACTGATACACTGAGGTCTGGCCTTAACCTCCTTTTAGAACAACATACGCAAGATTAGCCAATTTCTTCACCAAACTTATTATCGCTTATCAAATTTGTATTTGATGGCATGTGCAAGTTTAGTAGTGAACGTCATATGCACTATCTTTTGTACACAGATGATTAGTTCACAGTGCAGTGAGCACGGCGACCGATTTTGTCTTCGTGAAAAGTTAACCCCTTGCAGTTTTGATCGCAGTAGCGTGAGCATGTGCGAGTACCGGAAGTAGATGGATGCAGGAGGGAGCGTCGTTTCCGGTACCGACACCTGGACCCTGGACCACGCGGAAGAGACCAATAGCCGAATGTGTTAATTGACGAGTTATCGTCAATTTGTAGCAATGTGCGTGTGTTTGTCTGTGGCGTGCTCAGGTCAGGTGCGAATTATCTTACAAGTGTGGAGTGTGCATCCTCTATAGTAGACCAACTGACGAGCGGGAAACGTCATTATCAAACCTATCATATTTACATGCTCATATTGGTAGAACCAATTTAAATTTCAAAGATTGCCCGTGTTTGTGATACTGTACAAGAAAAGCATCAGTATAAAGCTTAAACTTGTAACACTATTTAATAACTTGAGGTTTAACGGAAAATTAGGCTAACGAGTGAGATACCAACTGTTAATACACTTTACCGATTAGATTTTACACATCGGACTCAAACTTATTATCACGTTAGATGATCAAAGATCACACGACGGCCACAGTTGGGAGGTCTACAGCGGCGGTGCAGGGACTGTACATTCTACCAGCCGGGCACACCAGGGGGCCGCTCCGCCAGAGATAAACATGCACCTTTATCCGAACTTTATGTTGCTCAGAGGCGAGTATGCGGTTTTATTTTACATGCATGCATTTACTTTTAGGCCCGACTCACGTGCAGAACCTTTTATGGTCATAATGGGGTTACAAAATTAACTTTCTGTGTTATGCCTACTGAATGCGTTAATAATATTGGTTATAATTTATACAGTGGATGAATATCGACTTAGTCTTACAGAGACGAAAAAAATCATATTCAGTTTTTTAAAGGTTGTCTTTAGTTTACTCTTGTGCCAGGGACGAAAAGAACATTTACAAAACGAAAAAAATAAATGCATGCGCAGCTTTTAGAACTACGGCAGCAGTTGCTAGGTAGGTACTGGATGACGTCCAGTCAGCCAGTAGCAGGTCTATCGCTAGGCTGGTGGACGAGGACGGAAGCGTGATAAGACCCGCATGTCCATTGTGCTGATAGCAGCTGTAGAACTACGGCAGCAGTTGCTAGGTAGGTACTGGATGACGTCCAGTCAGCCAGTCAGCCAGTAGCAGGTCTATCGCTATTCGCTAGGCTGTTGGACGAGGACGGAAGCGTGATAAGACCCGCATGTCCATTGTGCTGATAGCAGCTGTAGAACTACGGCAGCAGTTGCTAGGTAGGTACTGGATGACGTCCAGTCAGCCAGTAGCAGGTCTATCGCTATTCGCTAGGCTGTTGGACGAGGACGGAAGCGTGATAAGACCCGCATGTCCATTGTGCTGATAGCAGCTGTAGAACTACGGCAGCAGTTGCTAGGTAGGTACTGGATGACGTCCAGTCAGCCAGTAGCAGGTCTATCGCTAGGCTGGTGGACGAGGACGGAAGCGTGATAAGACCCGCATGTCCACTGTGCTGATAGCAGCTGTAGAACTACGGCAGCAGTTGCTAGGTAGGTACTGGATGACGTCCAGTCAGCCAGTAGCAGGTCTATCGCTAGGCTGATGGACGAGGACGGAAGCGTGATAAGACCCGCATGTCCACTGTGCTGATAGCAGCTGTAGAACTACGGCAGCAGTTGCTAGGTAGGTACTGGATGACGTCCAGTCAACCAGTAGCAGGTCTATCGCTATTCGCTAGGCTGGTGGACGAGGACGGAAGCGTGATAAGACCCGCATGTCCACTGTGCTGATAGCAGCTGTAGAACTACGGCAGCAGTTGCTAGGTAGGTACTGGATGACGTCCAGTCAGCCAGTAGCAGGTCTATCGCTATTCGCTAGGCTGGTGGACGAGGACGGAAGCGTGATAAGACCCGCATATCCACTGTGCTGATAGCAGCTGTAGAACTACGGCAGCAGTTGCTAGGTAGGTACTGGATGACGGCCAGTCAGCCAGTAGCAGGTCTATCGGTAGGCTGGTGGACGAGGACGGAAGCGTGATAAGACCCGCATGTCCACTGTGCTGATAGCAGCTGTAGAACTACGGCAGCAGTTGCTAGGTAGGTACTGGATGACGGCCAGTCAGCCAGTAGCAGGTCTATCGGTAGGCTGGTGGACGAGGACGGAAGCGTGATAAGACCCGCATGTCCACTGTGCTGATAGCAGCTGTAGAACTACGGCAGCAGTTGCTAGTTAGGTACTGGATGACGTCCAGTCAGCCAGTAGCAGGTCTATCGCTATTTGCTAGGCTGTTGGACGAGGACGGAAGCGTGATAAGACCCGCATGTCCACTGTGCTGATAGCAGCTGTAGAACTACGGCAGCAGTTGCTAG